AGCTTTTCGAACCAAGTCAAGCCTAGGTCGCCAAGGCTTGATGGGAAGAGTATGCACATTAAAGCCTCGTTTCGCATGTATACGGCCATGACTTGGCGAAAGTGGCTCAAGTGTGAATAGGGGTCCGTCTTCCCTTCATATGTAGTGAATTTCGGCTGAAGGAAGCCTGATGGTAGGGGCGCGTTTTCAATCGCTGGAACAAACGGCGAAGTCTGCAGCCTTGCCAATGCTTTGTCCGTTGGTTCATAGGCTGGGCGCGTCCGAGGAGCCAACCGCTGCAAGGCAAAAATTCTATGTGGATCCCTCGCCCTGGCATCCTCCTTGCATCGTGTTTTTTCTTCGAGCACGGTTCGTAAGTCGGATGACCTGGGCAGCTCTGTCTGTCTAGATCTGGTTTGGTGTGAATGCGAGGGCCAATATGTGCTTCCTTCAGTGTATGGTCTCTCAGATCTCGTCCTCTCAGACCTGGAGTGACGAGTTCTGGAAGATAAGGAATGAGTGTCGCCTGTCCTGAGGCTTCTGCTCTCTCCTTGCGAGGGTGTGGTATTCCTACCATGACTTTCTGAGTGGCGAGGGGGCGTCTTGTGTTTGCGCCCCTCTCCTGTCGCCACTTCTTTTTTCTTCATCTGGCGTTTCAAGGCCTCCATGTCCGCCGCCATCTTTCTTATCAATTCATTTTGTTCCTTCACGCGATCTTCCAGGGCTTGAGGATCAATCCTCCTCCTTTGCCTGTCAGGACTTTGTGAATGAGAGTGACAGGGGCTGTTATTCCGCCTTCCCCTGTCACCCCTCCTGGAGTTATGTTGTTAGGGCTCCAAGTCCGCCATGGGAGGGATAGAGGGTAATCCTTCACGCCTTGCGCCCCCATCTGGAGTTAGCCCGTCGACGGCGGACTGCGGTAGTTCTTCAATGTGCGCCATTGATTGAGAAAAGGAGAAGCTTAGTCAAGAGGTTTTTGTTCTTGTCTGTTCTTCCCACAGACGGTGCCAATTGTACGGGGAAGAAATAATTCTCCTCGTATAATCCTGTTGACTACGTCCACGCTCCTCCGTACGACGTCGCTTTGTCACCTGAAAACACAAACGTGAGCTAGCCGGCGGGTGTGTGCCGGAAACCTCTCCGATGCCTAAGTCAGAAAACTTGACAAATAGACAAAACTCAATGTTCTCAGAAAGATTGTGTTCAATTACCTCCTCCAAGGTGATGCTTGTGAGCTTTTATAAGTTTCATATGGCACAATCCTAGTAGGACTTTTATTTCCTCCATGCAGGTCTCCTAGGATTTTATATCCTAAGGATAATGCTTATCCTTTTACACCCCCCCCATGCTTAAACCAAGTGGGATGGTTTTCACCATGACCCCGAACTACCACATTGACCGAAAATTAATACTGGCTATTGCCGAGCACAAAAGCTAGGCCGAACTACCTTAGCTCTGGTTTTCCCAAATCCACTCCTTATTTCGGTTCTCTCTTGGTCCAACCATGGTATTGTTTAGACCGAACTACCGAGTTAGCAAGGTTTTTGGACCGTTTCTAACCATACTACGTCGTGGCCGGAACTAACTCGGAAACCGGGACTAACTCCAAAGTTGTCCAAACCGAAGTAGCTTTACAATTCCTGAGCCGAAGTAACTTTCATTCTCTTTTGATCGAAAGTAATTTTATCTCTCTCGGGCGGATAAACTCTTTCTCGGCCCATTTTTTACCCAGTCCGTCATACTTGGCGCCACCAAGTCCATCTACAGCTCGGCCCCAATTTTCACCAAAAATTACCCTACTAAAAAATATACATACATTTTATTGTTCAATATTTTTCTTGATATAGCAATATCACTACCCTCATACAAAAACTAAAAAAATAGAGGGAGATTTTTTTTTAAGATATCTGTTATTTAAGATTTTTATAAGATAAAAAAAACATATAATATTTTTATAATAGTTGAATTTCTTAAACATTTTTTCACAGAGGAAAATTCGACTTAAAGAAAAAATTTCGACTCGACTTAGAGAATTTTGGCTCCCGACAGAGAAAATTTTCAATTTTACAGAAGAGAAATGTCAGAATCATCAAGGGAACCCTTAACTAATAAAAAAAAAAACATTTTTTGAAATTCTCCTACATACCACCAATGTTGAGAAAGAATATTTCACTAATTTTTCCAAAAATTTAAAATCCACCCTTCAGATCAGATCGACAATATAGCTACACATTAAATTAGATACATTTGAGAAAGTGGTCGTAGGCCTAGTTAAAAAAACTTTAAGGTGGTCGTTGGTAAACACTTACGTTTCAGTTTTCTGTTTATATTTACAAAATTTTAAAAATAAATAAAAATTTGTTTGGTAAAATTTTTGAATTTATAAATCAGTGGTCTCAGTTTATAAATTTGGCCAAAAAAATGAAAACACAAAAATGTGTTTTCTATTTGAGTTTTTTTTTTTTTTTACCACCCAACACTAACCACCACACCTGCCCACCATTTTCCACTACCATTCTTCCGCCGCCACCACCCACCCCCACCACCACTTTCCATCACCACCTCACCACCCACCAAAGCCACCACCACTGCCTTACTAGGCCGCCCCACTACCACCACCCCACCACCCACCTTTACCATCCACCCGCCACCACCATCAACCGCGCACACCACCCGCACCTGCTTGCCACCACCACGTTCACCACCCACCACCACCACATCCACCACCAGCTACCCACTACCACCACCATTAGGGCCACCCAACCTGCCACTACCACCACCACCACCCACCATCAACCTACCATCCACCTGCCACCACCACCCACCACACCACCACCCACTCGTACATACCACCCCGCCACCGTCCCACCACCACCCGCCACCTACCTGCCACCACCACCCACCACCTGCCGCCGCCACCACCACCACTACCCACTCGCTACCACCCACCACTTGCCACCGTCACCCCCCCACCTGCCACCACCACCCGCCACCGTCACCCAACCACCGACCACCACCACCCGTCACCTACCCACCACCACCAGCCATTCATCCGCCACCCACCTGCCACCACCACCACCCCCTCGCTACCATCTACCACCTGCCACCGTCACCCATCCACCCACCACCACCACTCGCTACCTACCACCCACCACCACCTGTCATCCGCCACCCACCTACCACCACCACCCCCCTGCTACCACTTGCTACCCATCACCCACCATCACCACTTTCCACCACCGTCTTCCGCCGTCACTTGCCACCACTTGTCATTTCTCACTCTTTTTTATATTTTTAAATTTTTTTAAACATTTTGTTAATTACCAAACGTGTTTGTAGTTTATGTTTTTCTAAAAATAAACAATAAATAAACAAAAATCAATTTATAAAATTTTTGTAAATATAAACTGAAAACGTAAACGTTACCAAACACACCCTAAATATTTGTTTTTTTGGTTTTTTTTTTTAGATTGAAACAAATATAGCTTATATTAAATTAAGGCCTTGTTTGGCATGATCTAAAAAAATTAAAACGTCAAAAAGTCATTATCCTATTTAAGTCACATTATCTTATTTAAATCATATCACTTCTCTAATACATTACTTCAAACCCAACTTATATTTCATAAAAAATAAAAAAATACACTTATTTAAATCATTCCAAATCACCCCTAAAATAGTAGCATTCGTCCGTATGAACATTGGGTGTAAAAACAACGAAAAATCGAAAGTCAGGAATCTGTCCAAAAAAAAAAAAAAGTAAGCATGAATGAGTCATGTCTGCCCAAAAACTTTGGATGAAACAACAATTGGAGGACTTTGATTTGCATTATGATCATATCCCTATTAAATGTGATAATACTAGTGCCATCAATTTATTTTATTTTTCATTTTTTTATTTTTACTGAATTTTTTAAATATTTTAAGCAAAATTTTTTTAGATACACCTAACATAAATACACTTAAGAAGTATAATACTTGTGAAAAAAATCTTTAAAAAATTCACTAAATATCAAAAAATTATAAAAAAAATTATAAAAATTTAGTATATTTTTTTTATTAATTTTTTAAAATATTTTTTCACAAATATTTTTACTATTTAGATATATTTAAGTAAAGTACATCTAAAAAAGTAAAAAATTACTTAAAATCTAAAAACTATTCACTAAAAAATAAAAAAACACAAAAACTCAATTTCTAAAAAATTGAATTCAAAAAATTAAAACAATAATATCAATATATTATGATTCTCTTTTATTTGTGATTTGAGAAGTTAAATGCTCTTATTAAAATTGAATAATACTATATGTATCAATTAGTATATTAATTAATATACCAATTGATAATGTGATATAATTTAAAAAGTCTTTAATATTTGTAATTTGTTTAATGAGTGATGTCAATAATAATGTCATAATTAGTATTGATAGACTAGTTAGTACATTAATTAATACATGTAACACCACTGAATAAAATTTCAATAAATTATTAAGGCTCCGTTTGGGAAGAAAAAAGCCAAGCTTTTTTGGCTAAAATAGTTACAAAAAACAAAATAGGCTATTTTAGCCACAAAAAACAAAACATCAAATCCAACCTATAATCATTACAATCCTCTCTCACAAAAAAAGTTAAAAAAGCTAAAAGTCAAGAAGTCCTTCCCAAACGAAGCTAAAATAATTAAGATTAAAATAGCCAAAAAATTAAAAAACTAAAAAGTCAACCTACTTCTTAAACGGAAGTTAAATACTGTTATTAAAACTTCTAAAACCGCGGGCTACGCCCAATGTACCAATAACAAAGCTCTTTTTTTTGCCTCAGTTAAAAATGTGGGACCAAATAATGGTTAATGGTTAGTGGTTAGATGCAAAGAACATTTAATTGGAAGTCCTTAAAGACTCCTAACTAACTTACGAAGTCCTAAAAATGAGAGTAAAAAAAAATCAAAGAAGGCATTAAATTAAACCCAACAACCACCTGCTCATTTCCCTATATAAACAAACTCTTCTTCACACTCACTCACTACCCAAATATAGCAACAATAACCAAAAGAAAGAGAGAGAAAGAAAAGAGTTGTACTAAAGTGGTGGTGGTGAATTAGTAAGAAATGGCAGGGGTGAAGATTGCATGCTTGGCGGTGTTGTGCATGGTGGTGGTGGTAGCACCGTATGCGGAAGCGGTTACGTGCGGTCAGGTGCAGGGGAACCTGGCACAGTGCCTGGGGTACCTGAGGAAGGGAGGGGCGGTGCCAGGACCGTGCTGCAATGGGGTTAGGGCCATGAACTCGGCTGCTAAGACCCCTGCCGACCGCAAGCAAACTTGCGTATGCTTGCAACAGGCTTCTAAAAGCATTACTGGTATTAATCCCGAAGCCGCTGCTTCCCTCCCTGGCAAATGCGGTGTTAACGTTCCTTACAAGATCAGCCCCTCCACCGACTGCTCCAAGTACTCTCTCTCTCTCTCTCTCCATACATTTCTATATCTGTCTGTATCATGCATGCATATAAAAATTTAATGTTAAATTTAATGGGTCGTTCCGTGTTAATTATTGATTTGTTTGAGAATTAAACATTTGTGACACAATTTCTGCCACGGTAGGTGAATTTGAGGGGTTGATGTGTCACTCAAAATAAGTTACTTGAAAAATTGATAAAAGTATATGGGCCAAATTTATTCTATTTCAGCTATGTTTGGTTTATGAATTTAGGTAGTAATTTAAAAAGAGAAATAAAAAAGATAAGTAAAATGTAAATAAAATATTATTATATTTCACATTTCTAAATTATTTTTTATAAATTTGAGTAGTGATTTAAAAAGAAAAATAAAAATGTATGTGAAATATAATTATATTGTATCACATTTTACCTACTTTTATTTTTTTTGCCTCTAAATTCATCACAAATTTTTTTAACTAAACACAATATAAATAATAAATAATTAATGAGAAATTCCAAAACACGGTGACAAAAAATAGTGGATGAGACATGTCAATTCCAAATAAACAAAAATACAATTTTGTGTTACCTACAATTTCTCTTTTGCCATTTGAATACGACAATAATGACTGTAAAAAATTGAGACCCGTGAATAGCATGCTCAAAAAGAGAGAAGTTGACATTCTCAGGCCTCAGTTAAAATGCGACCATTTGTACCAATTTTCATGTCCCATATCTTAATATAAATCCACCGCAAGATCAAACATATAGAGAGACACATCATGTGATGGTTGATATTTGGGACAATGGACAATCTCGACCACATGTTCAGTGAGACATACCATGTGGTATATTGATATTTGGGAATAGCGGATACTTGTATGTTTGTTAATATTACTTGTAATTCTGTGAATTAATGTCTGTCATTAATATTTTTACTTTCTTTGACTTGGTTTGTTTTTGTTTTTTGTTTTTTTTTTTTGTGTTGCAGGGTGCATTGAGATTGATGGACCATTGATTTTCAGCTAGCACAGATTTACCGCTGTTTTGAATAATAATAAGATGAAAGTGTGGATTCCACCCAGAGTCCCCATTTGTGTGTGTGTGTGTGTGAGAGAGAGAGAGAGAGAGAGAGTGTATGTACTATGTTGGTGGTGGTTGTTACTATTGTATTTGGTACTACTGTCAAGTCTTTCTAGTTGTATTATGTCATCGAGTCGGTGGTGATTGTACGTGATAAAATCATCTTATCTAATCTATATATCTATCTATTCTACTTTAGCTTTATTATTATTCCAATCAGTTTGATCTGTTCTTCGACATTAACCAAAATTAAGAAAAATGCTTGAGAGCATTAAAAAGAGAGCACTACGAGAAGCATTAATGATGTGACAGTAAGCCTTGTTCACTTTTTATGCCTTGTATTTTTATTTTTTGTTTTTTTTTAATTATTTTTAATGCATTAGTGCTATTAATAATGTATTTTTTAGTGGTCTAAATCATTATTGCCAAAATTAATCACCAGGGGTTGGTTCAGTGTTAACGTTTTTTAATTTCTTGCTCAAAATTTGAGTTCGAGACTATAGTCTTGGTTAGGATTAAATATATTTTTTTAACGTCCACGCTTTGGCCCCAATGCTAGTGTGGTAGGGTTCTTTATAGTTGCGTTATGAATGTTAAGAAATATTCTTAATGGGTATGTGAGTTGTCTGTCCACATATCTATTATTTTGCACCTAAAAAAAAATTAATCAGAAATAAAATCAGATATAACACTTTGATAGAAGTGTTATACCCAAAAAAAAGAAAAAGAAAAAAAAAAAAACCAGTGAGACTCCTCCAATGAAAAGTTATTTTTTATTTTTTTGAACAGTATCCAGTCTATCGAAGGGACTAATTCATGGACCAATTCTACTGTTTACATAGGAATTTCAATTAAAGCCCGTATCCCAGGAGATTTCGAATCCAAGATTGTGAAGAGAACATACCCCAAAACTTTAGGCCTTGATTACTAGGCCAACCCTTGACCTTATCTAATGAAATGTTATCTTGAATTTTGTATTTTTAAACCTTTTTTTTGTTTTGTTTTGAATAAATTACAAACACATCTCTTGAGATTTATTTAAATTACAAATGATTTTTATAGTTTTAGAAATTACATTATGTCCCATAAGATTTTTAAATAAGTCATTTTATTAATAAATTATCAAGCTAATTAATTATTCACTCAAAAAAAATAAGTTAATTAACAGTTTTTAATAATATTAAAATTTTATTTTAATTAATAATTCAGATAATTTTATTATTATATGGGTGAACAGTTAGAAATTTTATTTTTTTAATAATTCTGTTAAATAAAAAATTATAACAGGGAAATATTTATAATTTTTCAAACTACAAGGGGCAATTTTTATTTTAAACAAATTTCAGGGGTGTATTTGTAATTTATTTATTTATTTTTTTCCTTAATTTATCCTTTCTATTTTTCATCAAACTCCCTTCCATAACCTATAATTGGCACCCACAAATTAATGCAAACCTGCCGTGTTTAACAGGATTGAATTTTTTTTATTTATTTTTTTGGTATTTTTTTCAATAAAAATAGAAAATACGAAATGTGACATGGACTTGTAACTAGAAAACTGTTTTCGATAAATTTTCTAAAAATATCCCACTCCGTAAAGAAACATTATAAGTTGCTTTTAGAATTTAAAAAAAAAAAAAATTGTTATTGCAAAATTTAATTATGATTGGATTGTACATTATCTACAAGAAATATAGATAAGCAAGCAACTTCTATTTTCGATCAGAATTGCAGTCAAGCATTACAACAATGCAACCCCAAGGGTTGGCTCAGTGGTGTAGGTTGGAGGCGTAGGAATTTGCTCTTCTCTAGGTCTCAAGTTCAAAACTTGTTAGATACTATCAATCCGTGAGATTGATCTCTAGAAATTAGTAGAGGTGCGCGCAAACTGATTCGGATACTTGAATTATCAAAAAAAGCATTACAACAATGCTCCATGACTAGTAGCTGAAAGTGTCACTAAAAAATATATATTTTTCAACAAATCCAATTGATACCATTGCGATTTGTGACTTTCTCACGTTTAGTGGCATTATTTAGTACCACTAGGACATTCAATAAACATATGGACTCGAGAACACAATATCAAATTATGTAGGCGACTAGAATAAAGAAAGAAGAATGTAAAAGAGAGGTTGCCTTTCAGCTTTCTTGATAAAAATAAAAATAAATAAATAAATTCATAAACAAATGAGTAAAATCAGTGTGTAGTTGAGATTTATTTTAGGATTACTAGAACCACACAAAATAATAATAATAATAATAATAATGTTGTGTATGCTCTGTTCTTTTTTGTTTTTTGTTTTTTTTTTAATTTTGTATGCTCTGTTCTTGATAAATGATCAATAGAAGTAAGGTCCATCTGTCCACGTCCAAACCTTTTAAATGTACCTAAGGTGATTTTCACTCAAAAAAAAAAAAAAAAAAGAAAGAAAAAAGAACTACATGAAATTGCATTGGGCACAATTACTTCAAACGTAACACGTGTGTGGTATTTACTTGAACAATCGAAAGTTTCCTGAATGAAAAAATGGCCTGTTCTTGTGTGTTTGTTGATAAGCTTTTTTGAAAGTTCAAAGACATGTAGTTAGGCCAGCTCATAATCTGGCCAGGTCTGTAAACAATTGCTTATCTTAATGTTTGGTATGTTCTTATTTCTAAAAAAAAAAAATCCTATAAGTATATAATCTTTCTCACTTTGCCCCCTTAAAGAAAACATTGATACTTGAAATAAAAATTTCTATTGCTTGAAAGAGAAATTCTAGTTCAATAAACCGTCCTTTGTGATATCTATTTAAAAATGTCAAATGTATTATAAAAGGGTCTTCAATAGGAGTGAATTTTATAAAAATTGACTTACAAATCTTTTAATGGTAAATTGTCTTTGGAACTATGATAAAAAAAAAAAATATTTTCTTTTTAAAATACTGTACTTACTTTTTATTTCTCCAAATAATAGAAATTGAGTAAAATATTTATAAGAAAAAAAAAAAAAAAATTTACTTCAAAACAAATAGAGCCTAAAAAAAACCAAAAAATGCTAAATGCCCAAAAATATATTATGGGCTTGAAATCCATCACAAGTGTGATATGGACAATACAATGAAACTCGATCACTCAGTATACGTTCAGTGCAATTAGATATTCTATCTTTGCACTTACCATTGTTAAAAAATTGATGCATGTGTACGTCTAAAAGGAGCTCCTTCAAATCCATTAAATTAACCCCAACTACCCCACACCTAACCAAATATATATATTTGGTTCAACAGTAAAAGGTTTCTTGGTAAATTTATGCACATCTTAATTAATTTCTTTCTTAGTTCAATTTAATTCAATCAAAAGCAGGTCATTCAAAAAAAAAAAAAACAAAGCAGGCCATTCACGTTAAGATTAGTGAATTCATAAAGAAAATTCTTTTTTATAACCTGATTTCAGAAGTTAAATTCTCAATAATTATGTGGAGAGCGTACATACCGCCATTCAGAACAACGCTCGGGTTAAAACAAAAATTCACTTCAAACCCATTTCTTTCTACTTTACACACTCACCACTTTCTCTATATAAACAACTCCCCCACATGGAATGCTTTGCCCCACACACCACAACACAAACACTAAGTCTAAACCCTAAAGTTGTCCCTTCCCGTTCTTCTTGCTAAAAAAGTAGTCTTTGATTTTGAAATCACCATTGTAATGGCTAGCTCAGGAATGCTGATCAAGCTTGCTTGTGTGGTGATGTTGTGCATGGTAGTGATTGCACCCCATGCTGAGGCTGCGATATCGTGTGGCACGGTGGCGACGAGCCTGGCACCGTGCCTCCCGTACCTGAGGACTGGTGGTCAGGTGCCGACGCCGTGCTGCAACGGGGTTAAGTCCCTGTACAGCGCGGCAAAGACCACCGTGGACCGCAGGACTGCTTGCACCTGCATGAAGACTGCTGCTGCTTCGGTGACTGATATCAACCTCGGTCTGGCTTCTAGCCTTCCTAGCAAATGTGGTGTCAACATTCCCTACAAGATCAGCCCCAGCACTGACTGCTCCAAGTCTCTCTCTCTCTCTCTCTCTCTCTCTCTCTATACATATATATATATAAATATGTATACACATATATGTTCATTAAACTTGTTGCTATGTTGTGTTCTAAATTCACAAGACTAAAACTCTTACTTAGAGGCTGGCCAAGGAATGCTGATTTGCTTTCACTTGGATTGGGATACATAAATACATACGTTCATACATTTATATATATATAGCTTTTCCTAAAGTATAGATGAAGCTGTCATATAACAAACATCAAACCTTTTGTTTGTTTGGGCAGAAAGTTAATATTTTTCAACGATTTTTGTTTTTATATAAAAAAATGTTTTTTCAATATTTGTGTCCTTGAAAAAAAAAAAAATCCTAATAGTTGTATCACTGGTAGTAGTGGCCAACAATGCTACAGACCTCCAAACACAACCCCCACAACCCTACTTACCTCTGATTGGTCCAGAAAGGAAAGAAAAAATAAAAACACATGATTGGTCTATATCATTTTGAAGTCATGAGAGTCCGAGTCCAACTTTGGGGTCTCAAATATTTTTGTAGTAGTGGCAGCAGCGGCGGTAGTGTTAATGGTGATGTGATGGCAGAAATGATAATGACAATGGTAGTGGCAACATTTGAGACTGTAGTTTAAAAAATATTTTTGTGTTCAACTTCAATTTTTGCTGTAACAAACTTCAAAAAATGTATTTTTTTACCCAAACAAATTGAGTGCTAGTTTTATTTATTCCAAATGGATTAAGCCTCTGTTTGGGAAGTGGGTTGGCTTTTTGACTTTTTGGCTTTTTTGACTATTTTAGCTTGGGCTAAAAAGTTTGGTTTGGGAAAGGCTTTTTGGCTTTTTGGCTTTTTTGATTTTTTTTGTGAGAGAAGAATGTAATGATTATAGGTTGGATGTGATGTTTTGTTTGTTATGACTAAAATAGCCTATTTTGTTTTTTGTGGCTAAAATAGCCAAAAAAACCTGAAAAAGCCTTTGCCAAACACAGGCTAAAACTGAATGGCTAGATCAAGTTTTTGGGCAAACCAAATAGCTTCGGTTCTCAACGATCTTCAAGAAATGGGTATCTCAACCCCATACTTTACCTATCTTGTGTGCGTTACAAAAATATATTTTACAGTAAGTGTGATCTTAAACACGTACGAGGTAGATTAGATATTATATAAACCAAGACACAAACAACTACCAATGAAATATGTTTTTCTTTAGGGTTGTTTTAGGAAGTGTTTAAAAAAAATTAATTTTTTTTGACACTTCTCAAAAAGACCTAAATCAGATCACATTCATGAGATCTAAGTATCTACTAACTACTATTTTTGTGTTTTGATTTTTTGGTTTTTATTTTTGTGAATGTGTTGCAGGGTGCAGTGAGGTTGATGAAGGACAGGACAGTGTGAGAGATGCCATGCCCTATTAGTAAGAGCCTATGAATAAAGATTGGGTCAGGTCAAGTCGAGTTCACATGGGGGTTCCAGTTGAGCTAGTTGTCCAGCTTTTCAGTGTCCTCTATTGTGTTTTGGTGTCTGTTTTTATTTGCTTCTCTTTCTCATCTGTACGGTGATCCTATGTTACAAATGATATCCATAATGTTCTACTTCTCTATGCTCTACAGTCTCCTCTCTCTCTTAGAGCTCGGCCCTAGCTAACCTGGCGTTGCTGCTGTGACAATCTGCTGTGAGCCCGTGGGATTTATTTCAAGTTTTTTTTTTTATAATCAGAATCAATCGTATTGTAAGATTTATTGAATAGATCATTCATGCAAAAAATCAAATTGATTGGAAATCTATAACTTTATAACAAAAGTACATATTTTTTTTAAAAAAAATTTACGGTTGACATTATCTTGATAATTTTTGTAAAACAATTTGAATCTGATCATGGCGTTACGGATTTCTGATTAACTTGATTTTTTATATAGATGATATGCTCGACGAATCTTACCATATGAATAGTTTCAATTATCGAAAAAAACTCGAAAAAAAAGCACCCACCGACTCACTGCTGTGACTGCACCCCGAGAGAAAAGTCCTCTCTAGGATTGTAGCCGAACTCTAATTATCTATATATTTCCTTCTTATCAAAAAAAATAAACTAATATGGATTTAAAAATAAAAATACAACATATATAAAAAAAAATTAAAATGTGTGAATCAAATTTAAGTATAATTGACATGATATATTACAATTAAATAATAAGTTGTATACAAAATACATGAACAAAATTATATTTGGAAAGAAGATGTGCGACTATGATTTACCAGTTGTATGTGGAACTCATATCTCAAGTAAATCTGATTTATATATTAAATACTTTACAATATTTTTTATGCGTTTGTAGAATTGTTCAAATTTAAACCGACATTTATTGTAGGCTATTTTTAAAGTATATAGTGAGAGTATTTTTTGTTTAAAGTTATCAGCCAAATCTGTTAGTCTAAAATAGGATTAATAACAGAAAAGTCTAGTTTACATGATTGATGCTACTTTAAGTTGAATTTGTGGGATGATTTACCCTTTTTAGTTTTAGCGGAGGGCATGCATACTGAGATTTTGATTGGGAATAACTCTTTTAGTTTTTTTTTTTTTAATTTTTTAGTTATTTTAGTTTAGCTAAACACATTTCGTTTGGGATGAATTTTTGTTTTTTTTTTTTGTGTGTAGTTTTGGGGAAAAAAATGAAATAGTTATATTTTTTTAACTGATAATGAAATAATTATAATTTAAATGTAATATTTTATTAATTTAAATATAATATTTTATTTTATAATTTTATAATTTATTTTATCTTTTAGTGGGCTAAGACGCGTAGCATCCTCTTGTTGCACCAGTAATTATTTTGTCTTTTTAGACTTTCATATTGCTAGTATAACCAATTAACAGGAGGAACCAAATAATTATATGACCCTAAATAATAAAAAAAATGATAATTACTATGTTTGATTTCAATTTTTTGAATTTAAGTTTTTTATTTTTCATATTTTTTTTTGTTTTTAGTGATATTTTTAAAATTTTAAATAAGTTTTTAAATTTATTATATTTTTTATTTTTTATTTTTATAATTTTTTAAATAATTATATGACCTTACTTAGATATGTCTAAATAATACAATATTTATGAAAAAATATTTTTAAAAAATAAATACATAAAAATATGAAAAATGTACTGAATTTATATATATATATATATTATATTTTTGGCATGTAGTGAATTTTTTTTACAAATATTATACTTTTTAAGTATATTTATGTTTATGTGTATCTAAAAATTAAAAAAAATTGTTTAAGATATTTAAAAAATTTAGTGAAAACAAAAATAAATATGAAAAATGAAAAGATAAATTTTTTGAAAACTGAATTTTGAAAACTAAACCAAATAGGGCCACCAAATCTTCCTCACATATGTTATAATTTTTGAGAAATGCGTGGTAGCTCGAAAGTTGAGCAGCCCGAATCCCCCGAATGTCAAAATGATGTCGTTTTGACACTTTTTTTTTTCTTTTTCTTCTTTCTTGAACTGGTTTGAGTGAAAGAGATAGGCGAGAGAGAACAGAGAGGTGAGAGAAAGAGAGGAGGAGGAAGAGAGGCGAGAGAGAAGGAGGAATAGAGGAGAAGCCGACGCTTGATCTTCGAGAGGTCGAAGCTTGATCCACCATGGACGGAGACCCAACCCACCACCATGGATGGAGAGGGCAAAGCTTGATCTTCGGCTATGGGTCTTCGGTTCGACTGTGACTGTTTTGATTTTTTTTTTTTTGTGATTTTTTGGGTTATTTTGCAAACTGTGATGATTTTATTTTATTTTTTTGATTTTGATTTTGCAAACTGTGTTGATTTTGTATGTGCTGGTTTTGGCTGTGGATCTTCGGCTGAACCATTATTTTTTTGATCTCTTCTTCTTCTTCCTTGGGTTTGATTAGCAGAAGAGAAAATTTTGTTGATTATCAGAAGTGAATCAACAAACCCAGAAGGAACAAACCCTTATTATGCTATGCTACACTTCTATTGATTAGCAGAAGTGAATAAACAAACCTAGAAGGAAAAAGAGAGAGAAAGAAGAAGAGAAAGAATGAAGGAGAAGGAAAAAGAATAAAAAGAAAATTCGAGCCATTCGGGGTATCCATTTTTGAGCTACATAGCGCCGTCCATAATTTTTGGTTGTTGCTTGCTCAACGCATATGATGCGGCACATGATTTATTTTTTGTCTTTTAAATTTTAAAATCTCATCACTTTTATTTTATATATCTATTTCTTTATAAAATATGTATGTTTAGAAGTTATACATTAAAACTATAAATTAAAAATATAATTTTTATTTTTATTTTTTATGATGATACTATATAAATCGTTATTAACAAATATCAAGTTTGGGACATTTTCGTCAACTAATAGAGGTGGATAAATGAATCAAATAGTTCAAACTCCACTTGTATTTGGCTTATTAAAAATTTGTTTAAATTCAGTTAGTTAAGTATCAAACTTGAATATATTTTAGAATTCGTTAAAGTTCTAATATCAAATTTGAACAGTCAATTGTTCGGTACAATAAGTCTAGAATTATATAAAATATTAAATTATTGGAACTCGACTCAATAAATAACGTGTTTGGCATCAGCTTAAAAATTTAACAAATCTTTAAATTCATTAAAATTTTCAAACTAACCGTTTATCACCCCTATCCCTTGGTGAGTAAATTCATTTCTACATCTCACTACAAGAAATGTCACTTTTGGCTAATAAAATATTAGTCGCCAAAAGTCCAATGTTTGGTCGCTGAAACGATTTAGCGACTAAAATATTTTGTCGCCAAACTCGTCGCCTACGCCCTGCTCAACAAAGTTTAGTTGCCGAAAGTGACTACATTTTGCTACTAAATTTGTTTAGTCCGCAAATGCATTTCTACATCTCACTACAAGAAATGTCACTTTTGGCTAATAAAATATTAGTCGCCAAAAGTCCAATGTTTGGTCGCTGAAACGATTTAGCGACTAAAATATTTTGTCGCCAAACTCGTCGCCTACGCCCTGCTCAACAAAGTTTAGTTGCTGAAAGTGACTACATTTTGATACTAAATTTGTTTAGTCCGCAAATGTTATGTTTCCGCTACTAAAACCTTTAGTCGCCGAATGAGACTTTTGGCTACTAAAGTTCGTGTGGTCGGGGAAGGTGTCACTTTTTTGCTACTAAAGAATTGGTCACCGAAAGCACACATTTGGCTACGAAACATTATTTAGTCGGGAAAACGTGATTTCGGCGACTAAATTGTTAGTCACTAAAAGTGCTACCATAAAATGAGAATCACTATTATAGACCAAACATTTTGGTCACCAACAGAATACATATTTTTAGCGACTAAGTAATTTTTGTCATTGTGACTTTTGCCCATTAAAAGTTTCGTAGCCAAAAGTCTCTTAACATTCACTTCTTCACTTTTTGCCACCAAACGTTTTAGTGGCCAAATGATACCATTTTTTTTCGTGACTAAAAAATTTAGTGGTCAATAGTTTCTTTCTTTCATTCTCAATTGTTTTAGCTACTAATTATTTGGTCGCAAAAACTTTTTGGGTTATGTTTTTACTACTAAATTATTAGTCACCAAAACATTTGATTACGTATTTGGCTACCAAAATATTTGGGGGCCAAATACTTAAACGTGTTTTTTTTCTTTTGTTAAAAAAAAATTCTAAACAACATGTATCCATTATTAATACAACTTGTACCCTGTATAAACAATATAATTCATCAACGCTAAATATGTTATCAAGCATTCAACAACGTGCACACATTTCAGTTCCAACCATCCAAAAAATTAATATTAAACGTCCAATTATATATATATTACAAATTTCATAACAACCAAGTCTAATCCAACGTCAATAATTTAATTCCATACATAATACAGGAATAACCTAATCAATTGTACACCTAGAACTTCTGTACCACAACAAAAATTATATTCTGTACTGTCCCAAAACTATTTTGTACCACGTGCTATGTTAATTTCTACCGTGCCAACTTAGCTAATATTTACCACACCAAAAAAGTAATTTGTACAAACCACTATATATACGGATAGAGATATAAAAACAATGTCCTTCCGTACTTGTCAAAAAAAAAACATATCCACATTTGTATGTCCAAAAGCATCTGCAAAAAAACAAAAAAATCATTAGTTTGGTGCGTATAGAGGCACTTCTGGATGACATATATATATATTGTAATAATTTCAAACATTAAAGGACAAGGAGAGTAATAGCTATTAACTAATGAAAGACATCCAAACATCGACCCATCATGAGTTCTTGTTTTAGCTTTTTAATCTCTAAATCTATCTAAGTAAATTTTAGTAGTTAAATGTGAAAGTAAACTGTGTAGGTATTACCAAATTACAGAAATTATGGGTGTACTTACCATTTCATCCAAAAATTATTTGTTATAAAAATGTAAGAGGACCCATCATTAGAGTTTGTCTGGTATCCATAAAACTCAATACTGGCCCTACAATAAAGAAACCTCAATTAAGCAATTTGTAAAGGCAAGGAGATTGTGTTGGTTAGCATGAAGATTGTGTTTTCACTATGCTTATGTTTTTGTGACCTGCATGA